TGTACACATATAATAGCAGCAACACAAATTTTTCCACTAGCTGACTTGACCTTCCTTTCCATGCTGGAGAGTAATAATGTACATTTAAATAGTAAGTGCACCCTCAATGATTAGATCAGCTCTCATTGTCACTGTCACTATGAAAACCAATGTGCAAGCAATCTAATATTTTCACTTTTGTGTCCTTTCTTGTGCCCAGAACTTCAACAATGCTTACAGAAGAAGAATGGCTACCTGAGTGCCCACAGATAACCAATAGACACCGAAGATTGGGGTGGTCAACCACAAGAGCACTTCTAATAAATTATTTCATGTACAACAAGGTAGCTCCTTCAGCTCAAATACTTCTGAGCTCTGCTCACAGAGCTGTACTTTCACTGAATAAGGCTGACAGGAGCCCATCTAAGTGTCACTTGCTAAAAGAATGTTACAGCATGGTCGACCAGTGTCCTGAAACAGCTATCAGGAACCATTTCAGCAAGGCACTTGTGTACATGATCCTTTTGATCCAACATTTCTGTATAAAGATGACACTCCAAGATAATGTAACTAAAGCCTATCTTGACTAAAACATGTTATAAACATGTGCTAGTAATCCTTAAAATAAAATTTAAAAAATGTGCTTGAATATATTAATTCAAGTGAGTAAAATTTACATCTCTCAACTAGATTATGGCTTGGTAGGCTCTCTTTTTTATCTAGCATAACAAATATCAGTGCTTTTTTGTATGCCAAGCAAGATAGTATTCAATAGAGGTTGCTTGATTGAGTGTAAATTGTGTCACCCAGCTATATATTGCATTGTCAAAATAAAAAGAAACAAAAATTGCAGTTGACATCCTGTGCACATGACCGACACAGGCAATTTAGGTTTTCATCATTTATTTTATGCCAGAATTTTTTATTTGCAGCATATTTGCTATATTTCAGGTCATATTTCCCATCCCTGTTCAACCTGTATGCAAGGTTATGGAAAGAATAATGACAGGTAAACCCAATTAAGCAAATTGGACACATGAAAGAACTGAGCCAACAGTACAAAATAGTGAACAAATGTCTTTCATCATCTTGAACAAGCCACACAAGCAGAGCATCAACTGTACAATCTTCAGCAAATCAAGAAACTTGTCATTGCACATTGTTACAGCATCCCAGTATAAGCAGCCATGACCAGCATGAAACAGAAACTTGAATATGTCTTAATCTTAAGTTATGTAAATATGTATGCGTCTTGATACAGCTACAGCCTTTGACAAATGCAAACGTGATGGGCAGACAGGCTAGCTTCACACTTCTATATGTCATAGTCAGAAGATCTATAATAAAGCATAAGTCATGTATTTTATAATGAAGAAATGATCACTTTAACTTTTTACGAGTCTGCTCAGCCATTCATTTCTGGACCAAATATGAAAAATCTAATTTTATTTTCCACAATCCCCCACGAGGAAGGTACATAACAGCTGCATCTTACCGGTACTTACCTACAGAGCAGAAACCTGGAGACTTAAAAGAAGGTTCAGCTTAAATTGAGGACGACGCGACGAGCGATGGAAAGGAAAATGATAGGTGTAACCTTAAGAGACAAGAATAGAGCAGAGTGGATCAGGGAACAAACCGGCATTACAGTTATCATACCGTATATACTCGTGTAAGGGCCGCCCTCGTGTAAGGGCCGCACCCCAACTTTGAAAGCGGATATTTCGAAAAAAAAAAAAAACAAAAGTTCAAAATGTCCCGCCAGAAAAGTGTAGTTAGTTCATTTACCGCCAGATGGCGCTGCACGCTTTTCCGCTTTTATTCTACTTCCGCCGACGCGCCGACCACGCTGTTGACAGCGCGCCGCCATATTTGCCTTGTGCGGCCTCTTTGTTGGCATCGTTCCTAGCATCGTGTCGATACGTTGGCAGCGCGACTTCTGATCGGTGTCGTCGGTGTCACTTTGTTGGTTGTAGTGAACCCTGCAGAAGCCAGCGCACGTGACGGACGATGGGCCGGCATCTGAGATCATTCACTGCAGCATTTAAGCTGCAAGTGATTGACTATGCCGAGGAGCACGGGAAGCGGGAAGCTGGACGAAAGTACGACGTCGATGAGAAGCGCGTGCGTTACTGGATGAATCAGAAAGATGCCCTCGCCGCTACTAACAGGAGCCGAAAGGCGTTTCGCGGGAAAAAGTGCAAGTACCCGCAACTCGAAAGCGAGCTCGTCAACTACGTCGTCGACACACGAAGGGACGGCTACGCCGTATCGACTGACATGATACGCGTCAAAGCCCTCAGCATCGCTCGCCACATGGAAATACCCCCGGCACAATTCAAGGCAAGTCGGGGCTGGGCTACGCGGTTTATGAACCGTAACCAGCTTTCTATTCGGCGCCGAACGACGATTTGCCAAAAACTGCCGCGCGAGTACGAAGACCACGTCATTAAGTTTCATCGCTTCGTGAATGCTCTCAGGAGGGAGCATGAATACGACCTGTCCCAAATTGGGAATGCGGACCAGACACCTGTGTGGTTCGATGCACCGGAAAGCACCACAGTGGATTTAAAAGGTGCGAAAAGTGTGTCTGTGCGCACGACTGGTGCAGAACGCCAAAGGTGCACTGTGATGTTGTGCATCACGGCAGACGGCAGGAGGCTTCCGCCGTACGTCGTATTTAAAAGGAAGACTCTCCCAAAAGAGAAGTTCCCTCAGGGAATCGTCGTACGTGCGCAAGAGAAGGGCTGGATGTCCGAGGAACTGGTCGTTGACTGGATTAAGACCGTCTGGGCAAACAGACCTGGAGGGCTGTTACAACGGAAAGCCCTCCTTGTTTTGGACAGCTTTAGGGGCCACTTGACCGACCGCGTCAAGAACCGAGTTGCCGCAACTCGTACGGACTTGGCCGTCATTCCCGGTGGCCTGACGAGTGTGCTGCAGCCGCTCGACGTATGCGTCAACAGACCATTCAAAGTGGAATTTCGCCGATGTTACTCTGAATGGATGGCTGGAGGCGTCCACGAGAAGACCCCTACAGGACGGCTGAAGCGGGCGTCGCTCCAACAGGTGTGTGAATGGATTTTGAATGCGTGGCGTGCCATGTCAGTAGAAGTAGTTGCTAAAAGCTTCAAGGTAACGGGAATTTCGAACTCCATGAACGGCACCGAAGATGACCGTCTCTGGGAAGACGCGGACGCCGAGGCGAGCTCCTCCGAGAACGAGGACAGCGAAATGGAATCCGAATAAAAACATTTCTGGCATGTCATTTGTGACTCTTGCACTCTGCTACTGTTGCATAAACAGTACAGACCTTTGGCCTGTACTGCCTGTACTAAATCGGCCTGATTCGTGTAAGGGCCGCACCTAGCAAAATTTTCGAAAAAAAAAGTGCGGCCCTTACACGAGTATATACGGTAGTTGAAATGAAGAAGAGGAAATGGACATTGGCCGGGCATGTAGCGCATAGGCAGGATAATCGCTGGCCATTAAGGGTAACTGACTGGATTCCCAAAGAAGACAAGCGGGTTAGGGGGAGACTGGCAGCAGCAAGCACAGGACTAAGTTGACTGGCGGAACATGGGAGAGGCCTATGCCCTGCAGTGGACATAGTCCGACTGATGATGATGATGATTGTCCACAACTGTAGAGAGAGAGAGATAGAGAAAAAGGAAAGCCGGGAGGTCAACCAGATATTGGCATTCGGTTTGCCCTGAAGAAGGCCCTGAAGAAGGCCCTGAAAGCACTACTGTACTTTTTGCGATCGACCGGCCTTTCTGAACGGTTGTAGCTAGAACGCCTTTCCAGTGTGAGTTTTCTCATGAGTGCACAACTGTAGAAATTTCCCATAAAAGCATAGCACTAGTGAAACATGACCTATGCATTCCGCCATTCAACTGCCAGGTGAATTACCAGTGAAAAAATTGACAAACCAATTTCTAAACAACAAAATATAAACACCTTAGTTTTTATTCTGCCAATTTATCCATCAAATCGGCACGGGCTCATGACTATCAAAGCTAAATATGACACAAGTGAATGGATGGCAATAGCAAACCGATCACCATAACAATTACACAACAGTGACAAAATGAAAGGCAGCCTTTACTGAAGTGTTATGCCATGCTCCAGGAAATAAATTCTCTGTTACCACGGGGCAAAAGATGATTAAATGAAAAAAACGCAAGTTAGATAGGGCTGACTTTTCCCCAATTTGAGTCACATTGAGAAAGTGGAAGATGGTAATCATGATTCATTCAACAAAAAAAAAATGTATAAACATTGTACCGCACTGGCAAAAACGAATGTTGTGCCTTCCGAGTTGCTACATATCCTGGTGGTAAGTTAGTAGCACAAAGATGGCATCATCCTTATGCAAACAACGCTAACTGCGTGTCGCAAAAACAAGTAACATCTGCTAGCACTTCTTTAGCAAAATAAAAAACAATTTTGATCAAGCTGCCCCTCTTTCACCTTCATATACAATGTGGCTTGACTTTACAAATATTCCTGACAAATTGTATTGGGCACGATGTACATTAACAGAAATTAGTTCAACGGTTTCAAAGTGGCACGATGATTTTTTCTTTAAATTAAACTGTCTTCTCATTACAGGAGGCTCAGATGTGGAGCTGTTATTGTAGAACGTGAATTTACTCATTTACCTTTGCTCAATATTTTTCATGAGTGACCACAGAAACCAAACCTTAGACACACGCATTATTTGCGCAACATAATATTACTTGTAAACCAGATATAAACAAATAATCACCTCCAGTGTTTATAGCTCTGAGAGTATTAAGTTCTGGCTTAACGGAGACCCCTTCATAAACTAAGATTATGTTCAGCTGTCACAGTTATGTGAAGAAATTATATTAAATAAAACCACATTGTACCATGGGCCACAACAAACACACACCATTATTTTTTTTACTTGATACATGCATGCACACACAATAAAGGCATATATTATGAAGTACACTATAGTTCTAATGTTTTGATATAATGTGGGAAAGCCTTACCATCCTCAAAGGAAATGGACTGGCTGAATACAAGGGCTGCATATTCTCCAACGCTGAATCCAGCTGCAGCAACACAGTTTTCGATGGCCTATGCAACGGGAGAAAACAAAGACTTATAAACATGCACAGCGGTCACAATAATGTACAAACATGCACAATATTGATACTGAGGACATACAGTGAAGTTGTACAACCCTCCTGTAAGAAACCCCCATTCTCTATCAACGAAGGGTGCATGAATATCTGGCATTTCAGGTACCATTATATTTTGCATTTGTATGTGATAGTACAATTCACATAATTGTCTACTCCTGTCTTTTGGATGTAAGGGATGACCACAGTGAGAACAGTTCCAAATGAATGCTTCAGCACAACAGATTTACATGCAGCAGCAGAAATCCTCCAGCCAGGACAATAAAACTGCTTAGTAATTTCTAGTTTTCAATAAATGTGGTTCGATTTGAGCAACCTATATATCAATTTGTGTTGATTTATTATTAGGCCTGTCCTACAATATATCCATCCTTGTAAAACAATTTACAGTGTAGCAGCTCTTGAACTTTCCATCCATGCATGTGATAATTACTGTATGTACTATCAGCGACAAATGAAAGCCGAACAGTGGCAAGCCTTCATGATGGAATAGTACGCGCCATCCACTTATCACTATGTACAGGCACGCATATTTCTGCCAGTGTTGAGGAATGGGCATCTCCATTTCAATTCTGGGGGATTGCAACTCGTAATTCCATTCTTTTCAATTCCTCAGAATAGGAAAACTTCGCTTGTTCCCGCTAAGGGAATGGCCAATCAGGTCCATTCCATTCCTACAATTTCTCAAGATTTAAAAGGCACATCTTGAAGGATTTATCGAGCTAAGAATGATTGTAATAACATAAAGCTGATATTATGGGATGCATAAGAGCTGCAAAACTATGCTAAAAATGTTCCCATAGTCGAGGGATAGCAGTTATCTCGTGCAGTACAACCACACTACTAGTTCCCATAGGGGCAGTTCCCCCGCTACCTATAGTATTTATGGTCAGCACAATCTTTAAAAAAAAAGTTGGTAAATAGTTGCAAATGCATGCAATTACTTGTTTCGAGCGTATTTTACTACTTTTGCGGCATCTTTTTACTATAGCAAGCAGCCGGTAAAGCTTGACACTTTTGCCGTTAATGACCAGGAATGCTTTCTCGGTCTGATTTGATTTGTGGGGTTTAACGTCCCAAAACCACCATATGATTATGAGAGACGCCGTAGTGGAGCGCTTCGGAAATTTCGTCCACCTGGGGTTCTTTAACGTGCACCCAAATCTGAGTACACGGGCCTACAACACTTTCTCGGTCTTCTTAACTTGGTAACTACTAAGCCACATACGTTGCCAGATCTCTCGTAAACACCACCGCATATCTTGCAGTAATAGTGACACTCTTAGGAAAAATTTTGACCAATCTCAATTTTGCAAATTACATTTAAAGGGCCAGTAAACAGGCTCCGACTTTTTTTTTTTTACACCCCCATACAAGCTCGGCAATTCGTAGATTAGACCGCAGCGACCAGGTTTTCTGAGTATTACAGCACTGCGTGCCGCGCAGAACCTCTATTTCGAAAAACAATTCCCGTGTATCTTTCCTACGCGTGACCGACCCCCTTGCACACGCAGCGACGTCAACTCGGCAATCGGCGACGTGATGTAGCACGCAGCTCACCAAAGCAGCTCGCCGATTGGTTTAAATCAGGTGTGAAAAAACAGTAGTGAAGGCAACGTCAGTTCCTGTTCCCACGCACAGCTACGAAACTGCCCCTTGTTTCTTGGAACTGCGGTGAAAGAACCAGCCTCGCAGTTGTCGTGTGCCTGTGGACACTCTGTGTTTAACTACAGCACCTGTGCGCACATACGAACGTACTTCGCCCTTGACATGAGCAACACCAGTAAAAAGCGTTGCTCTGTCGTCGGCTGCAAATCGAGCGACAGGGCAGCAGAGAAGCATCAGCACCGGGTGCCTCACAATGGGGCCCTGCGCGCTGCATGGCTGAAGTGAATCAGCCATCCAGCGACGTACGTCGGGGACCTCATCATTTTTGGTCAACACTTCGCACCTGACGCTTGCATGGTTGACCCGCGGCTGGTGCAGCAAACGGTAAACAAACAACCACGCTTCGCAGCAAGCGGAAGTGCGTTGCGACTGATCGAGTTCGCCGATGACGTCACTCACTGACGTGGTGTCACGTTTCTGAAGTGGGTGGAGTCACGACGATGGGCTACGCCTTCCCTTACATGGAAGGGAGAAGGGGGGGCGACGCCGTGCGAAAATTTGAAACCTGCTTAGAGCGATGTTCTAACCAATGTAACTTCCTTAATATAGCATGTATTCGCAAAATTCTTGTGGCAGCATGTTCGCAAAAAAAAAACTGCACATATATCTTTTTTTTTTTTAATTTTGGACCTCAGGGCTGTTTACTGGCCCTTAATGAAAATTTTGTGCTAAGTGATGACAGACACATATAGAAGGGCAGATGATGATGTGTGCAAAATTCTATGGCTGCTAACCAGTACACAGTGTGCTATTCCAAAGTAGGGCATAAATAGCCTTCTGACGGCTGCTACATGATACGACAACGGCTAAGTCTTGATATTCTATATGTGCGTTTGCATGTATGTCTTCGTCTGTGATTCGTTCATGCTTCTATGTAAGTTTCGGTGATGCGTATTTGCCTTGGTGGTTACATGAAGTAGTTAGTGGTCACTAATTAATCTATGTGGACAATCGCACTTCACTTATTATTCCACATATACTTTTGTAACTGATTTATCCTGATGTGGCAATGTACATGCATATATAAACACCTGTTAACTAAAATTCAGTAATGTATTAATTATTCAAGTCAGCACTATTCACGAACTACTTTGCAAACTAGCAAGTTTCATTATTCAGCATTTTACTACCTTCACTTAATAGAAGGTGAGTGCTTTTTGTGACAAGTAAACGGTAGTATTTGGTTAGTAGAATAAGCAGGCCTTCTTTATAAGAGTGCATGCTTAAACGAATAATGTTTTAATATTGTTGAGGCTTAAATGCATTAATGCTAAATACGACGGCTTAGCCAAGCGTTGCGTAGGAATTCGAGGAGGCACTGCCTAGGTTACGTGGGATCGCCTGCTTTGGCTGGCTACCCGAACCAATGCTTTCAAAAATCTAGTCTATCTCCCTCTGTACGGTTCATCTTGTAGAACAGCTCATCGCACACACAGTTCATTGTCTGCGAATATATGCTGCGCTGGCCTACAGGTCATTGCGATAAAGTTTCAGGCAAAGGCACACATGTATGTAGACAAGGGGCCAGTATTGCAAAAAAAAAGTGTGGGGGTTAATATGTGGTGAGACTGCGCACAAGCTGGTACACAAAAGCTTGCAGTAAACACAAGCATAGTGCTTGCGTCAATAGACATCACAACTTCGGGAAGTACTTTTTCGAATACGCATCCGAGTTACCGTCGATGGAAGAAGGAAAAACAAAGTGAAGAATGGAGAGATACAGGCAGCTGAGGCGCCACCGAGGAGCAAAAAATCACAAGCTATAAGGTGGGCATGCCGCCACCTTATAGTTCCGCAACACGGATACCATGGCATAGAGCCATGGTTACGCGAAGAATAGAGAAAAAACTTCGGAGCAAGACAGTTCATATAAGGACAGAATTATAGTAGGTGCGTTGCTTATAAATGTACCAAACTTGTAATCAGCCACGCCTTTTTAAATTACTCCTGTATTGTCAAATTCGAGGGTCTGACTTACTAATGTTTGAAGTTTGAAAAACAGCATGTTGACAAAAATGTGCTCTATTTTCGGAAAAAGACGTAATTCCATTCCCATTCCATTCCATGGAAAATGCGCTTAATTCCCTTCCTATTCCATTCCTCCAAGCTTTGCGGCTATTCCATTGTAGGGTCGAGAAAATGTGGAATGATTCCGGATTTATTTTAATTCTGGAGTGGCAACTCCGCAACACTGATATGTGCATAGCAGCTGAATAGGATGAGCGCGCCTGTCAATGATGAAAACTGAATGACACACACTATACCATCGCGAAGGCTTGCCACTGTTAGGGTTTCATTTGACCCCCCTAGTATCCGACATACAGTGTAAATACAGTGTAAATTTTTACATACATACATACTACATACAGTGTAAATTTTTATGAAAGGGAACACGCAAGCATGTGGCCCCACTCTGTCATGGCTGCCTACAGCACCATCAACCGAGAGATAAAGAAAGTGCGTCCGCTTTTCGCGTCATTTGTTAGCAAACGAAAGAATAAGTCGTGACCGTTGGACAAGCACTGCTAAATTGTACTACCACTTTGGTCTCGCAACGGGCGATGCTACCAAAAGCAGACGTGCTTTCTTTATCTGTTGGCTGATAGTGCTGTAGGCTGCCACAGCAGAGCTCAGGACACGTGCTCGTGTGTTCCCTTTCACAAAAATTTATACTGTACATGAGGAATTACATGTGCTCCGCCAATGTCCTTCAACGGATTGAAGGACTTTGGTTTCATTACACGTACCAAAGTTCTTTAATGCTTTGCTCGTACTATACATGTTACTTTTCTTTACTCAGCCACACCCACTCTAATTAAATTACTTTTGGAGAAATTGGTAACACATAATCAGCCCAGTGACATTGACGAGAAAGTATAAGAGGCAATGCACCTTTGTAAATTTGAACTTTGAGGGTATTACAGTAGAACAACGATGGTCATACACGACAAGCAGTCTCACAGCTACACATGTTCGAAGAGGCAAACATGATATGTAGCTCTATATTTTTACTCGTTGGGCTACTTCGCCTTTTCACCAGTAGGAGTGCATTCTTCACACTCTAAGAATTGTGAAGCGCTGCTCTTCACATTGATGTAACCACAGTCTTACATGCAAGGGGGCATGTACGAAACAGCCCTACCCTTCCTTTCAGTACATACATCAAGAAGAATTTCTGTGTCACCGTTGTTTTAAAAAAGAAATCAAGTTAAATAAAAAAAAGCAATTGTTAGGACTGAAGATAAAGATGTAAGGAGTGGCAGAAAATACAGTAATGTACAGTTTATGAAACTATAGAAAGAGGTAATGAAAAAATTATTACACTTCAGTAATTCCTCAATTACTTTCTTGGGGCAGTAACTAATCAGTCATTTTTTTAAGGGAAGCAATTATAACAGTAATCAGCTACACTCCGTCTGAAAATTGTGCAATTCTGGCCGTTCATCTCGCATAAGCAGCAAGCTATTTTATTGTCTCTCTTCATTTTATCTTACTTTAGATTCCTACACTCCCCTTAAAACAGCAATAAATAGTTCCCTTAATGCTTTTTTCTGTATCTGTTGGCTGCAAAGGGTGCTGGCAAATGATAATTGGGCCCTTCAGTTCCCTCCCTTCTCATTAATTGCTGTCTGTTTTCTTCATTATTGCAGTGACAGTGAAGATCCTTAGCTGCTTTGAGGTTCACATAAGTACACAGTAATGTGACATATTTTATCACACAAGCTGCATCCAACTTTGTTTAACTTGGTCCAGAAAGCCTTCATGTGCGCGCGTCTCCGTGTTTTAGGGGGGTGTCAGCCTTTGACCCACCACTTGCTGCCTCCCACCAGAGCACAATGTTCTCAGTCCCGGCAAGCGCCATGTTGGTTCTCGCGGCCAGGGCCAGGCATTCCTGCTCCGCCGCACTGCACGAATTGCATGTTGATGCGGTTGTGCAAGCTGCGGTTGTGCAAGCTGCGGTATGAGCTGCGTTCGACTACACCGTAGACCTAGCTTTCGCTATGACACCATCCTCGCACTAAGCGCACCTACGAGAACTTTGGAGTGTAAATGCCAGGGTGCAGCGTTCTGCAATGCAAAACCATCTGGAGACTGTTCTGCCTCCCGAAACACTGGATTACACAAGTGAAGCGAGATTGCTTGGAGCCGACTACTTCCTGTGTTTGTGAGGTGAGTACCCGTTGTATTATGAGTGGATTTAGTATATCGCTGCATATTTATATTTCGTGAAGTTTTTGACCTATTCATGCGACAAAAAGCAGTTTGAGTAAAGTAAACCCGACAACTTGCACAATAAAAAGTGGATCAGGCTTCGTTCGGTTACGCCGGGTTAGGCGAGCAAAAGCTGGTATGTTTGTTTATCCTCGTAGTCGAAGCGCAGTTCACCAATCGAGTGATATGACTAGTCAAACGTGTGGTTCTGCATGCATTCATTATCTGGGTTTCATCGGTTTCCGAAGCCATCACCACATTTGTCATGGGAAACGCCAGGCCCGTAAACCACTAACAGATTCTGGCAATCGCGTCTTCTTTTGCTGACAGATGTTTGCGTTCCTGCACTTTCACCTCGGTCGCTGAGGAAGGGCATCAGGAGAGGTAGACAGACGAGCCGACGAACGCGTTCCCTGTAGACTTGTAATCTTGCACAGTTGATTGATTGATATGTGGGGTTTACCATCCCCAAACCACCATATGGTTATGAGAGATGCCGTAGTGGGAGGACTCCGGAAATTTCGACCACTTGGGGTTCTTTAACATGCACCCAAATCTGAACACATGGGCCTACAGCATTTTCGCCACCATCGAAAATGCAGTCACCGCAGCCAGGATTCCATCCCGCGATTTGCGGGTGAGCAGCCGAGTACCTTAGCCTACCAGACCACCGCGGCGGGGCTGTAAATTTGCATAGTTGCAACACAACTAAATTTTGTGCGGCTTGTCATGGGGTATTTGTTCTTCCCTTCAATGACACGCGGAACCACACCGCAACTCGCTCAAGAATGGCAAAAAGGATTTTGCTTTAACAATATAGAATGCCACAGATTTACTGTTCATGTCCATCCGTCCTTTTGTTTGTCTGTCAGCCCTGAACAGTGCAGTATATGTGCACTAAGCAAGTCGGTTGTTGGCCCATAACTCAAATATGCCCTAAGAGGGATTGGTGCTGCATCATTATTTTTGTCGTCTCTTTGTTTCGTAACCAGCCACAAAGATGATTTGATATCGTGAGCTCAGTTTTTATTTAGTGTTTGTAGAAAAAATGTGTATAGACTCTGTATATGTGGTCGGCGTCGTGTATGACTTTTCGCCTTGTTGCTTTATCATAGGCCCACTGCGAGGACACATGCTTCCAGCAAAGAAGGCCGGACCGTTTGAAGAAATTAAGGCCAGATGCTGTTTGGATCCTGTTTGCAATAAAAGTTGACCTGCAAAAACTTAATTTGCCTTTTGTTGGTCTCCTTTGCTTTCCTTCTAGCCTAATATACCAGCTTGTGGGGGGAGGGTCGCTGTAATATCATTCAGTGCCCTATTTTCTGGCAATGCTTACAGCTTGTAAGCTTTTTAGGCAGTCCATTGTACAGAATCGTTCGCAGGAACTAAACTTGCTGCAGAAAATTATATTACCGCCAAAAGCAATATTTAGGGTATGAGAAACAGGCTAGCGGAGTTATGCGGTTTACAGAGAACATCACGAGCTACCCGGTTGTTTGATCTGCCTTCCCTGTCGTTATAGGTACCGTAATATAATACAGTACGGTCTCGAGCCTTGCACAAGAAGGCCTTTGAGGTGTTAGCAGTGATAAGATGAATTCGCTTCAGGAATGTTGCGCTGACATTGTGTCCTGTGATGTCACTCTGAAGTCCATTCACAGTGACATCAAGGTTCTTTGCCCTCCCAAATAAAGGTTCCCTAAACATCCTCACTACACCAATGCAGTGGGGCTACCAGGTGAGAGAAACGAACTGTTTTAACGGTACTTTACACCAACTCGAGTCACAAACACGTTTTTCGTGTTCCACAAAACGGAGGCTAACTTCAGAAAACAACCCTTCAGCTTTCATAACTTGCAATTTAAAAAACACCCCCTTCTCGTTGAAGCCCACGCTGTCTTCAATGTAAATGAGCGACCGCTGAGAACCAACATGGCGGCCCGTCAAGTATGACGGCCATTTTAGCCAGTTCATGAGCAACCATGATCCAAGTAGTCACCACCCTAAAACACAGAGACGCGCACACATGATGGCTCCCTAACTTGGTCTAGAAGCAGAGAGATATTAAACACAAAATTAAATATTCTGACATTTTTCGAACATTTGTATTCAACTTGGTAAGAAAATACTAGTACCAAAACACCCCTGCTGTAAACATATTAAAATAATACTAGGAAGAAAGTTTTCCAGCTTAGAGAAATCCCAAGCCACAAGTAGCAAGAGAGTCAGCTCAAAACGAGCAACAAGTGGTGTTATTCATGCTGTTGTGCAGTGCTCACCCAGGGTTGCGTGGCTCGCAGACGCTCTACAGCTGCCAGTGAAGTGACCAGCACAGCTGCCTGGCAGTGTACAGTCTTATCGAGTTGCTCCTTGGGGCCCTCAAGGCAAAGAAGCTGCAGATCGTAGTTGAGGATGTCACTGGCTCGCTCGTACATTTCACTCACATTGGGGTACTGGAGCAGGTGACGGCCCATGCCCACAAACTGTGAGCCCTGCGAGACGAGCAGAGAATGATGCACACTCTAAAAAAAGAGAGAGTAAAAAGGGCATTTTTTTGTCCCACAACAATAATCGTCATCTATATTGCGTTCCATCCTTGTGCTATTGCCCTGCGCCCGGTACATTCCGGTCACGATCGACATGGCCATTATCAGGGTTATATTGCATTCTCGATAGGAAAGTGACCAGCGCCGAGTTTTCAAGAAAGGAAGCGCATGCAAGCCTGATGACGATTATTGTTGTGGGACAAAAAGACACCCTTTTTACTCGATATTTTTTTAGAGTGCACTTAACTTATAGGTCATGATGAGCTTACACACGATGACCTTATACATACACGTGCAGAGTAAGAGTCATTTAAAGTAAGAATAATCAAACCTGCTATACTGAACACACCTAACAAATGTTAGATTGACAATTAGAGACAGAAACCGTAAGTCTAGACACATTTTAATGGCACCTTTATAGTGCCTATAAATGCCTTGGTCTATGTTAGCACCTATATTGAATTTACAAAGCCTAAATAAGCACTTTTTTTTATTCGCCAAAGGCAGCCAACTATTATTACTAACACTTTGCCAGCAAAATGCTGTTATTAGCTTTGCAGAACATTCATTGTTAAATGTGCTCAAACTGCTCTCTACTAGGATACACTTAAAAATGAACTAGTATGCTCACTTCACAAAATTTTAATGAGAAACATGAATGCTTGAACACAAATCTGGCCCCAGAAATGGATATTATTCAGGACAATCGGGAAAGGCTCACCACTGTATGTGATATACCAGTAGCTGACAGTTACTTTAAAACTTGAATCTGTCTCGGAATAATTTTCTGGCTTTTGACACTGAAATAAAAATGAAGTTCTGATCAGTGAACATTTTACAATTCCTGAGGGCACTGGACTATTATATGTTATAAAGTATAAGCATCCACCATTAACTCTAGTGCACATTTAGGTTTCTTTTCAGTACGAAGATTAGTGTAAAGCCTCGTGTCAGTGTTGCACTTCCAACTTAGTAAACTTCTATTTGGAGCAAAAAAACCTGACCAAAAAGAATAAAGTCTGAGCAATTCCAACCGAAAATTTCTAGTAATTTTTAGGAGCCGTACAGTAACATGGATCTTCAATGCGAAGGGCAGCATGTAAGATCACGAATGTGCTGATGGATAGTGTGTAACCAGTAGTGGCAGTGAGTGTGCATGGAAGAATTCATATTGACAAGGATTAAACCAAATGGCTCAGTCTAATAGTAAGGGATGCCATACCACATTACAACTCCGAAATAAATGTGGCTTTTACACAAGTCTGAACAGTACCACTGTAAAAAAAAGGACAGAAATTCGCAATGGCACTTATATTTGTCATGGTCTCTCGCACTCGACTAGGGAGTAATCTTGAAACACACACTGCTTGCTTAATTCTATTCTATGTATATAAAAAAAATTACAGCCAGACATTTAAAAGGCTTAAAATTAAATGTTAGAAAAAAATTTTAAATTTGCCGTACTATGCACAGCAGAAGTTTTTCTAGGTAGCTTTTATTAGCATCACTGAAGCCAGCATGTTGTATAGCATGGTGGAAAGCAGGGTTTATGATCTCATGTGAATGTTATGAGAACATAGCATGCAGGTTCTAGCCATTTCTTTCTAATGCTGAAGATTAATATGCTGCATTCATGACATTGTAGCCTCAATGTTATAGGAGATATATATTCAGAGCGCTCTTTCCGCATGACGGCGCCAGCAAGTGCACCACCGTAGCAATAGTCCGTCAGCCATCCGGCTTATGACAGCCGAATTTTTGGCTGCGCTGCATCTCACTAACCTGTTTTCTTAGAAAAATATCAAGATAACACATGCTGCCGAGAACTTTGGTTGTGGGTTAACGATGATTTTCGTGCGCGATTCCCTGAATATGGTGGCTGCCACGCTAGCACTTTTTGCGGATGATGTCACATAAATACCTCCTACATAGTGTGAGGCAGCTACATTTGCAAGCTATCACTTAAATGTATCCATGCATAAAGATAGTATTTGGCATCTACACATATCTTAAATGGTGGCTTTATCTATACATATCTAAAATGGTGGCTTTGTGCTTGTTATTCATGACTAAAACAGCTCTACTCTGGCTGCTGCAGGTGCAGTAACCTAACCGCACATATACTCAGTGGGTTACAACATGCTACAAACCACTACAACCAACAACTACAACCAATTATATGGCTTTTGTGATGGCTTATCTCCCACCCTACCTACATTTTCTTTAAACAGAAGTATATACTATGTTAATGCTGAATGGACACATCAGCATTTGTTAGTGTGCATATTCCAAAAAGTTAAACTACAACAATAGGAGAAAACCGATCTATATCCTTGCTTTTGTGTTTCTTCTAGAGAAAAACAGTACTTTATTAGAGGCAACTGATTGCCTTTTTACGAAAGTGAACATTTAGGCTCTCCAAGGCAGCGTTTACTACGTTAATTAGCCTTAAATTTTCACTTTTGTTTACACGGGCGCAAATGCTTTGCATGGTTGATCGCAGATATTACAGTATTAGGCTTATTTGGTTACCACTCTGTCAAAACCACCTCCAATTTTCGAATTCCAGAGGGATACATGGTTGATGCTGCCACCATGCATGGGTGAATGGAAGGTATCCCTTAGAGAAAAAAGAAACACGTTTAGTAAGCTGTCGTAAGATAGGAAGCGTTGTATTTTACAAGTCGAAATATTTACATTGTGATAGAAGGCTGAAGTAAAAACATTTCTCTATTTAAACCCTGCTATTGCGTACGTGCCATCGTACAAGTGGTGTAAGCGTATAAGTATAGCTCAACCCTGAGGTTTTGCCGTAGTACAAGACGACCTATAATTTCATACATGCACATCACCAACAGCAGCGGAACGAACCTGGCCTGGAAACAAAATGACACTAGTGTTTTTCGGGTCGATGCGAATTGTCTCCTCATATTTCTCTTCAGCGGGAACCTTGAAGCTCACGGGATAGGTAGGCGATGACCACATATCCGAGTTTTGAGGCTGTCCAGCATCGAACGACGCCGACTCACGAAACAGTTGGGCGACATTCCCTTTATTGTAGTCCACCTTCTGCGAATCCTTGGGGATCTTTTCTTCGTTGTCTTTGGCACAAGTGTCTCGGCAAAACCGCGAAGAACTGGACGCGATGGCGCGGCGAAATAACGTCGATTTCGACTTCGTGACGAGAGACCTCGTACAGCGTTCCAGCAGTGATGCGGCGGGCAGCATTTTCTCTCCTCTGGAGCTACCAGCAACTGCTTAGAGGGAGAGAGCATTAATCAACATTGTGTCAAGCTCTAGCGACACAACAGCGCAAAAAATTTCGCCGCTAGAACTCGCAAAACAACACGTGCAGACGACGACTTGATAAAAAGAAAAATAGAGCGCAGCTGGTGCCCACGATGTCGATGCCGTAAGGTATGCCAATTTTGTGTCGAGGAACAGAAAAGGCAAGCACGAGTTTTTTTTTGTTGTTGTTGTTTTTAACAACAAAAAAAAGTTCTGTTGATTGCACTATCTAGATCCTAAATAGTGAGCTGTGAAGTGATGTAGCGTTGATCCCAATCAAGACTGAACAACATATAAAAAGCCTAATGAATTTGAATTCTCTAGGCGATTTAAGGATAAGGCGCGCCGCTCCGCCGGTACGCAAGCTAGTCGTAGCGGCATGAATCTCTAGCGGCCGGGTAACGGAGTAGCAGGGCAATAAAAACGGTTCCTTGGGCGCCGCCATAGCCCTTTCTGGGCTGAACAAGTAGGCGTTAACTCCCCCCCCCCCCACCACCACCACCCAGAGACAAGAAGGACACGAAAGACACGAGCGCTGTCTCTGTGTCGTCGTTTTGTTCTCGCGCTATAACTATCGTCATGCCATACCAACTAGCCCAAGCTGCCACACTCCCACCACCACCACCACCATGCCGTCCTCTGCCGAGGCTTTGACGCCGACCTTTGTACTCCGGCGCTCAGCCCAACATGACTTTTTTTTTTTCTTGTGTAAAAAGGTGTATACTGAGCAGCGGTATTCAGGCCCCAGAAAATACTCGTAAATACTCGCGCACTAAAGGAAGCGCCGACGTAACTATCCATCTGCTCACAAAAGTTTCACTAGAGCAAAAGAGAAGTATCCAAGCGGTATCCGCACGTTACTACTCCATGCAACTAATGCACCCCGCTATTTCACTGGAACTGTAATGTGTCATTCGGGATGCCGAAACAACCCAAGTATTCCACTCTTAAACGAACAAAGCGAACATTGATTGATTTGTGGGGTTTAACGTCCCAAAACCACCATATGATTATGAGAGACGCCGTAGTGGAGGGCTCCGGAAATTTTGACCACCTGGGGTTCTTTAACGTGCACCCAAATCTGAGTACACGGGCCTACAACATTTCCGCCTCCATCGGAAATGCAGCCGCCACAGCCGGGAATCAAACCCGAACAAAGCGAACAAGAAAATCCGCAGGACCAGAGAGAGAGACGCTGTTGACATCACTAAACCCAGAGAACCAGCTCCGGTTGATGGACAGGGCTTAGCCGTTAGCTGCAAGCCATGGCTTCTTGGAATGATGAAGTGCACCTACCCCTGGACACAAAGAACGTGCACCTTATAGTATAATAACGTTTATACTCTCTCTTGGGGTACAGAAAGAAACAGAAAACATGTAACAATGGCGTCGAAAGGATTTTGTCTGGGGGGCGGGGGTGCCGACCCATGTTGCATCGCAGTTGGGGGAGAGAGAGTGTGCTTGGGTTGGGTGGTACAGTGCCCCTTTGCACTCCCCTGCCGACGTCCACGCACGAGTGTGTGTGGTATTTGGGGCTATGGTGTTTAACACGGAAAAAATCGAGCCATTTGGTACAAGGTATATATATATATGGTTGTAGTTGAGACAGCATTGCAATGAACGGGCAGTCTGAGACCGAGCGTTCACACACACGATGATGATTGTGGTGACACCCAGTGAAGACTAGGACAGATACCCAGGTGGATTATGACGATTATGATAATGCATATATGAAAAGAAGTGCATGACGAATGCCCACACTAATTCCCCCCACATCGAAGCGGCCAACCTGGCCGTAGAAAGTCAATGTGACAGAGAACGTCGCCTGACAGGCTTCATGCGAGACACGTGCACGATCTCTGTGGTGCGGTGACAGTGGTCTGTTGGGACGACAAGTGGGGTCACACGATAATTAACGGGCGAGGTCTGCTCGATAACTATGTAAGGCCCAATAAAGTGTGATGAAACTTGTCACACAGACCAGGTGTACGAAGAGGTGTGAATAGGAGCACCTTGTCACCAGGTCGGAAAAATACAAGGCGATGGGATGCGTCATAAATTACTTTTCGATCTCGCTGTCGCGCTTCCGTGTTGATGCGAGCACGATCTTGATCTAGTCTTGAAATATATCCCTCGCTGGAAGACGGAGAAGAGTTGACGTCACTGTTGAAAAAGGAAACGTCGAGGAAGAAAGTAGGGGAACGTCCATAAACGAGGTAGAACGCGAATATCTAGTGGTGCGCTGAACGGCCGTGTTGTAGGCAAAGGTGAGGAATCGCAGAAGAGTATCCCAGTTTTTGTGGTCTGGACTGATGTAGACGGCTATCATGTCAGCAAGAGTACGGTGAAACCTCTTGGTGAGACCGTTGGTCTGAGGGTGGTAGCTTGAAGCTGTCTTGTGTGTTATTCCAGAGGTGCGCAATACTTCATTTAGCACTTCTGACAGGAACACCCTTTCACGGTCACTCAGCAACATACGAGGGGCATCATGGCGCAGAATGATGGCGTGCAGAACGAAGTCGGCAACTTCCTAAGCAAAGGCAGTTGATAGTGACGTTGTCTCCGCGTTGCGTGTCAAGTGGTCTACTGCGGTCACTATCCATCGTTTGCCAGTAGATGTGACGGGAAGAGGGCCGTAAAGGTCGATACCTACAACCTCAAATGGCATTGTGGGGCACGGAATCGGCTGCAGAGGCCCGGCCGGTGCAGTTGTCTGGATTTTACGACGCTGGCACGGGACACTGGATCCGATGTAGCGCGCGATGCTAGCAGAAAAACCAGGCCAGTAGAAGCGACTTCGAATGCGGTCGTAAGTTTTTTGAATACCAAGATGTCCGGCAGTCAAGTCGTCGTGGAAGGCTTTAAGCACGTCAAGTCGAAGAGAGCGTGGTAGCACGGGAACCCAACGTTGACCATCTGGGTGGTAGATGTGACGGTAAAGAACTCTATTCTCCAGCTTAAATCGCAAGAGTTGACGACGATGTCGCGCGTTAGGTGGATGGGAAGCTTCTGAGAGCTGGTCCATGATCCGCCTAAAGTAGGGATCAGACAACCGGCCGGAGTGAGATGTGCGCTTGTCATCCGAGAATAGCTGGTCTATTGAGGCGAGCGCAGGTGCTGCAGTAGAAGTGATGGCCGAACTTTGACCAATGCTGAGCTGGCTATTTGGTAGCGGGCAGCGGGAAAGGGCGTCGGCGTCTTGGTGCTTTCTACCTGACTTGTAAGTGATATCGAAGTCATACTCTTGTAAACGTAGAATCCACCGACCCAAGCGTGCAGACAAGTTCTTCAGCGTGGAAAGCCAGCATAGGACGTGGTGGTCCGTAATGATCGTAAAATGACAGCCGTGGAGATACAGACGGAACTTTTGCACTGAGCAGACCACTGCCAAGCACTCCTGCGCAGTTATGGTATAGTTTTTCTCGGTCGCAGTTAGAACTCTACTGGCATATGCAACTACTCTCTCTTATGAACAGGTGTCACGTTGGAGCAGAACAGCACCTATACCACGGCCACTAGCGTCCGTATGTTGGATGGTCGGTGCGGCCTCATCAAAGTGGCGGAGTACATGTTCGGGTGTGAGGGCACACTTTAAAAGGTCGAATGCTGTTTGACATTCTTCCGACACAGAAAGGGCACGTCGGAAGCAAGAGGCAAGTGGAGCCGCTATTGATGCGAAGTTGCGTATAAAACGGCGAAAATAGGAGGTGAGACAAAGAAAACTTCGCAACTCCTTCGGCCTTTCGGGGCGCGGAAAGCGAAGCATCGCAGCAATTTTGTCCGGATCCGGCCGAATTCCGTCTTTGGTCATGACGTGGCCCAAAGCTTTGATAGCTTTTGTGGCGAAACGGCATCTTTTTGTGTTCAGTTGGAGACCAGCGGCGGCAAGACACGTCAGAACGTCATCCAAACGTTGTATATGCTGAGGAAACGTTGACGAAAAAATGACGATGTCGTCCAAGTAGCAGAGGCAGGTCTTCCATTTGAGGCTGCGCAGCACGGTATCGATCATGCGCTCAAATGTAGCGGGCGCGTTGCACAGCCCGAAAGGCATAACGTTGAATTCGTATAGCCCGTCGGGGGCTGCGAATGCCGTTTTCTCTTTATCCTCTTCGAGCATAGAGATTTTATAGTATCCAGAACGCAGGTCCAGGCTGGAAAAGTATTTCGCGCCTTGTAGAGAATACAGGGCGTCGTCAATGCGAGGCATTGGGCATAGATCCTTGCGAGTGATTTTTTTGAGCGCCCTGTAATCGACGAAAAAGTGCACGGAGTGCACCACAGGCGACGACCAAGGGCTAGATGAGGGGTGAATTACTTCTCGTTTGAGCATGTCGGCTACATTTTCTTCGATAATTTTTCTCTCAGCAGGAGACACGTGGTAGGGCCGGTGGCGTACAACAGGTGTTCCGACTGTGTGGATTCGATGCGTTGTAGTAGTAGTGCGGCCCAACGTTGAGGAGTAAACATCGAAGGAACTTTCGTGTTTCTTTAACAAAGCAAGCAGCTGTTGCGTCTGTGAAGGTGTCAAGTTGTCGCTAATGGCTGCACTAAAGGCGGAAGAAGCAGGCTCACTACTAGGGCTGCCGTTAGAGGGACGGCATGAAGTGGCACGATGCACGCAGGCTCGGGATCCGTCACGCAGGCCACCGTGGTGTTCTGAGGCAGTAGAATTTTTTCGGATGTTGTATTCACAACGGCGACAAGTGCGGAACCATTCACCGCGAGAATGATGCCTTTACCGACGCAACTAAATGATGGTGAGACCAAGACGTCACCATGGTCGATGTCCTTGGAGGTAATTATTACAATTCGCTCTTGACCTGGTGGTAATTCGGTATCTTCCGCAGCTCTCAAACTAAGTAGCCTCCTGGGGTCGTCGTTGAGCGTGCAGTCCGTGTAGGTGAGGTGGACGACGCGTTGGGCACAGCAATTAGCCGCGGAAGCAAAAGAAAGAAAATGCCACCCTAAAATTAATTGGTGAGAGCAGTCAGTCAGGACGGCGAACTGAATGTGGTGTCGGATACCATCAATAAAAACGCGGGCTGTACAGAAGCGGACGGGCGAATGGTATACCCCTGCGCAGCAACCAACGTGGGTCCATCGTAAGGGGT